CCATGTTAACCTTATGATTACTCATATTTAAATGGAATTAAAGAATCTCAAGCGCTGGTCCAACTAAACAATTTGTTTCTGTGATGTTCAATAGCATTAAAAAGTTAATAGGTTTACCAACAGGGTGCAGCACTATAATTCATGAGAACAGCTAATTTGCAACCAAAAGGTGAGTGAGCGTGGCGAACGAACTTCAACCTAAAGGCGAGTTAGCGTAGCGAACGAGCTAACCTGAACGTAGCGAACGAACTTCAACCAGGACGTGATTGAGCCATGCAAACGAGCTCATCTTGAAAATGAACGCAACGAGCATTTGACATAAAACCACATTAGGACAGAACGACGTCTGTCGGGCCAGCTAGTCTATTATAAAATAAAACTATCATAACCTAACCTAACCAACCAACCAAACTTGCTGATGGTGAAAAAATCGCATGAAGGTTTTACTAATCGAATCGATAGTTTCAATCAATATTAGCGTAGCCTAGATAAGAAACTGTACCCGCCCATACAGCCAATGGCAACTAAGGAACCTACAGTTTATAGTGGAATCCGAACCACATTTTTCCTTATAATTAAGAAATTGGTCTAATTAGCCTATCAGGATAGTACTGCGGATAGTTCCTGGTTAATCCACACCAGGGAGCATAGCATCCACTGTGCATGCCTATAAATATCCACAATTTGTGACCTCGTATGTTAGTAGCTAGATTACAGGCCGATGCCACCGTCCCTAGTCGTTGTAGCTAATTTCTCAAATTCAAAAGCTATGGATCATTACTGGTTTTTAAATTATAGCATCAAACAAATAATTCATTCTATAAGTGAGCCTTTGGTTTTAGCGAATTTCCCTATAGGGAAGTAGAGGTCGTACGGAACGAGGTGAAGCTTGGAGGGGAATAGTGGTGTGGCGGGGGAAGTGTCGCTATGCGAGGCGACGATCGGCTCGTCTCCTACCCCCACCATGGATTACCCCGCTTTAGACTGTTCCCGCCGAAAATCTCAGGCTTCACCTCGTTCCGCACGACCTTTAGCTATTACCGTAGGTGGCACGGTAAGACTTAGACCCGGGACCGATTTACTTATTCATTTTGATGTCCCTAGAGGCCAAAAACACCATTCGTTCAAATTTTTATATATGTATATATATATATATATATATATATATAGATTTATATATATATATATATATATATATATATATATATGAATGGCTCCCCGGAAAAACGTTCCAAGCGCCAGAATTAGAGTTTGCAGGTTTTTGATAGAAAAACGTTCCTTGTGCTTTTGTCTATCAAGTGGTGACATCTTTTGGCCGATTTTATAACTAAAACATTGAATTATGGGTAGGGGAATTTGGCCCTCCCTGGAAGAACGTTCCTTGTGCAGCGTATTGGGCAGACAAGACCATGTCTTCACCGGTGTCAGGCCTTATTAAACAATTAAATAGAGGCAAAAAACTAAAGTTAAACATAGATTTTTGGAAGAAGAAAGTTAAGAAGAGTCATAGAAATAGCGGGAAAGTGTAAAAAAACTACAAAAATGAAGTAGTGCCTGAAAAAGTACTTATTTCTGAAGTAATTGGAAAAACGTTACTTGTGCTACAATGCACACTACAGTTGAACACTATAACGTTTGTGATCCAGAATATTTACCAGGACATAGGAATTTAATTTCCATTTCTAAATACTTATTATTAGTAAATTACAACCTAGCTGTTGTCAATTTACTGTTTACTGTCTAATATGTTATTAGCGAATTTCCCTATAGGGAAGTAGCTATTACCGTAGGTCTCATGGTAAGACTTAGGCCCGGGACCGATTTACTTTTTCATTTTGATGTCCCCAGAGGCCAAAAACACCATTCGTTCAAATTTTTATATATGTATATATATATATATATATATATATATGTGTCCGTGAACACGATAACTTGAGTAATTTTTATCCGATTTTGATGAAATTTAGTTTGAAGGTGTAAGGCGGGATAAACTTGAACGAGTTCGCGATCCAGCATGATCGGACCATGGGAACAGGGTTTTATGGAAGGTTTTATGGGGTAAAAATTGGTTTTTCTCACTTTTGACCCTCAAAATACAAAATTTTCCAATTTTTCTCCAAACCTTCTTAAAGGGCTTAAAAAAACAAACAATTCAGTATATCAAAGTGTTTTTGTACGGTTATTGGTTACGGAGAAAACTAAAAAAATGGTAAATTTAAAATTCCCATGTTATTCTTATGGAGAATATTGTAAAATATTGTAGTTTGCTTGTTTATGGATATATTTTGATCAAACTTGGCAAATTTATTTATTTTATAGTAAGCTATCAATATTTTACTAAAAACACACTACTTTATTAGTTTCCTTGTAGCAGCAAACCTAGGTACTCGTTAAACCTAATGTTATTTAAATAGATCAATTAAAAAACCAATTCAGCCAAATGGAAATTCGCTTAGACGGCAGGTTTGCTGCGGCGGGGGTATTTTTGTTAAGTGAATGGGCTGATTTATTTAAGGATTTGTCATGATCCTGCACACACAACGGCTGCAAGACTATACCTTTTGTGATTGACTATACTGTACCAAGATAATACGTTTTTTTACAAGATTTTGTGTGTTCTTTTAGTTAAATGAAGTGCAATATTGTAAAATTAAAAGTCCCAAGCACACAAACAATATCAGCTTAATACAAAGGCTAGGGGTTATGTACGTTTCATTAACAAGATATTGTGTATTCTTTTAGTAAAATAAGATTCAATATTGTAAAAAAAATCTTTCACTTGCAGTTTGAGAATTTCTGTACCTAAGCAATAAAAATAATGAATTATTGCAGCTATCAAAACTTTATTCTTTACATAACGTTCCAAACGCCAGTATTGTGGAGTGCTATTTTCCAGTAGAAAAACGTTGCTTGTGCATATCAACTATGCCCAAGCAACGTTTTTCCACTACATTTACACTTAAAATGTCAAAAGCTTAATAATTTGGTTTTTACTTGAAAAAAATCCTTATAACATTGTTATGACTAGACCTAAAAAGTAGAATCTAAAAAAATCAAAAAATAATCTTTAAAAAATTACTCTCTTAACGTTTTTTTTTATTTTCTGTAAAGTTTACAAAACGGCGCATGGAACGTTTTTCCAGGGAGCCATTCATATATACACGTCCGTGAACGCGATAACTTGAGTAATTTTTGTCCGATTTTGATGAAATTTGGTTTAAAGGTGTAAGGCAGGATAAACTTGAATGAGTTCGCGAACCAGCATGATCGGACCATGGGAACGGGGTTTTACGGGAGGTTTTATGGGGTAAAAAAATGGTTTTTCTTATTTTTGACCCTCAAAACACAAAATTACCCAATTTCTCTCTAGACCTTTTTTAAAGAGCTTAAAAAAACAAATAAATTAGTATATCAAAGTGTTTTTGTACAATTATTGGTAACGGAGAAAATTCAAAAATTGTAAATTTTAAATTCCCATGTTATTCTTATGGAGAATATTGTAAACTGTGGTATTTTGCTTGTTTATGGATATATTTTGATCAAACTTGGCAAATTTATTTATTTTACACTAAGCTATTAATATTTTACTAAAAAATAAACTTTCCGTTATTAGTTTCCTTGTAGCAGCAAACCTAGGTACTCATTAAGTCTAATGTTATTTAAATAAATTTAATTGAAAATCAATTCAGACAAATGGAAATTCGCTTAGTCGGCAGAGGCTGCGGCGGGGGTATTTTGTATTAGTAAACAGTGGCGGTTCCAGGGGGGGGGGGCTACAGGGGCTATAGCCCCCCCCCCTTGGACCCTGAAAAAAATATATTTAAACGTGCATTTCGTCCTTAAAACCCGCAATGTCATACAGACTGTAGTGTACCATCTGGTGTTATTGTCACATGTTTTAAGATGAATTAATTGTCGATATGTTTACAGTTCAGTTGTTTGTTTACTTACTTAGAATACACATCATGTTTTCAAAATATGTCTAAATATTTTATTCTATTAATATAATAAACCACAACACTACAATGGCGCAGTCGAAAAATACTGATTTTAAGTGTAGCTCATTTGACGGGACGACCGAAGATTGGGTTTACTGGTTTGAACGATTGAAGATCAGATTAAGGAACGAAAACGTCAAGAATGAAGACAAGAAACGAGACATTTTACTAGGACACTTAGGCCCACAACCTTTCAAAATTGTATTTGACTCGGTGCATCCTACACCCGTAAGTAATATTGGATTCAACGACGCTGTAGCAATCTTAGATAAATACTACACCAAACAAACCGCTCCACTTTCACAAAGAGTCAGCTTTACAAGTAGATTCAGACACGATGGTGAATCTGTAAACCAGTTTGAACTATCCTTAAGGTCTCTAGCCGGACACTGTGCTTTTGGTGATGGTCTGGACAAACGCTTAAGGGATCAGTTCATCCTTGGAATTAACAATGATAAATGGCAGTTTGAACTTTTAAGAATTCACGCATCTACAAACACGTCTTTTTCTAGCGTAGTAGCGTAGTTCTAGCGTAGTAGTCTAGAGTAGTCGGCAACGTTACTTGAAAATGTGGATACTCAACAACAGGAAATGCGCAACATAAAAATTAACAGAGTAAAATCCCCAATACACCATACAAATCGACACATCCACACAAGACAAGACAAATCAGACTCAAAACAAATAAATACTAGAAACAGCCCTATTCTTAAACTCAACAAGGGAATACAATGTTTTAAATGCGGTAACAAGAGACATGCAAATCACGAGGATTGCCCTGCTATGGGTGCTGTTTGTAAAGCTTGTAATGGTAATAATCATTTTTCTCGTGCATGTTTGAAGGCAGGAAATGCGGTTGTTGCTAGACCAAAACAGTTAAATCAAATCAAAAATTTTTTGGATGAGGATAACGCTCCGTATTCAGACATTGACCAAATACGAACTTTGGAAAAGGGTTCCAAAGTAATGATCAATGTTGAAATGAACAAACGTAAGGTAAAAATGCTTTACGATCCAGGGGCAGCTTACAGCATTATTGGAGAAAAACTGTGGAAATCGGTGGGATCACCAACACTTTACCCCTGTGAAAATCTTACTGCCTACACGGGGGTACAAATTGAAACACTAGGCGAAACATTGGTTAGTTTTCTTGCATTTGGTAGTTCAAAAAAATTAAAGCTTATAGTAGTCAAGAAAAATGATGTTCCTCTACTTGGGTTGGACTGGGTACTTAAGTTCAATCTTCCTTTACCACCAGGTGCTGAAGTATGTACAGTTACTCGGCAACCGAACAATACCACTTGTGTGAATAGTATAGATTTGGTAAGACAAATTGTTACTGACTTTCCAGAAGTGTTTCATCCTTCTCAAGGCACAATCAAAAACAGTAACGTAGTATTCCACTTGACCCAAGACGCAGTTCCAGTTATTTCAAAACCACGTCCTGTGCCCTTTTCCTTACGCAAAGCTGTGGAAGACGAACTGCAGCGGTTAGTTGAAAACCAAGTCTTGACGCCAGTGAATACGAGTGAGGAGCCTGTTACATGGTCTTCACCTATAGTTGTTGTAAAACCTTCTGGAGCAATACGCATATGTGCTGACTTTAAAAACACGATCAACAAGTATATGATTTCAGACAACTATCCTATGCCCAGATTTGAAGAAATTACAGCGAAACTTACTGGAGGACAAGAGTTCACAGTCATCGATCTCAAGGATGCTTACTTACAGATGGAAGTTGACACTTGCGTACAAAAATATTTAACTATTTCCACACACAAAGGGTTTTTCAGATATTCCCGTCTTCCTTTTTCGATTAAAATCGCTTCAGGGGCATTTCAGTGTAAAATGGATCAAGTACTGGCGGCCTTGGAAGGAGTTGCATGTCTTCTCGACAATGTAATAATCACAGCTCCCACACGAGAGGAACATATACGTCGAGTTAGAGAGGTGCTAAAACGTTTTACAGATATGGGCATCCACTCACAAATGTCAAAATGCAGATGGTTACAGGATTCAGTCAAATACTTGGGTCTCATGATTGACAAAACTGGCATACATCCCACAAATGAGCACTTAGAAGCGATGAAAAACATGCCATCCCCTAAAAATGTCAAAGAATTGAGATTGTTTCTGGGGTCAATCAACTACTATGGTAAATTTGTTCCACATTTGCAGTCATTGTGTGTTCCCTTACATGGTCTACTAAAGAAAGGAGAGAAATGGCAATGGACAGATAAACACGAGAAAATAGCAACAAAACTGAAACACTTGTTAACTACAGCAGACACTTTAGCTCACTATGACGAATCGTTACCGCTGATACTAGCCACCGACGCAAGCGAGGTTGGTCTGGGTGCTGCTCTCTTCCACAGATATTCGGACGGGACTGAGAGGCCGGTGATGTTCGCTTCAAGACGACTCGACTCTGCTGAAACCCGTTATAGTGTGATAGAAAAAGAAGCTCTTGGATTAGTTTTTGGAGTAACACGTTTTGAGCAGTATCTCTATGGCATACATTTTGAAATACGGTCAGACCATAAAGCCTTAATCAAGCTTTTTGGAGAACATGATCCGATCCCTAAGGTTGTTTCAAACCGAATCGCAAGGTGGGCTCTAACATTGAGTTCCTACGACTATTCCATAACCTACCAAAAAGGAAAGGAAAACACAACTGCAGACTTGCTCTCAAGATTTCCTCTTGAATCAAAAACAAAATCAAACAAAGAACGCCTAGGAGATTGCAACGGATCTCATCTATTTCATCTCAGGTCTCAGGATTTACCATTGACCTCAAAGAGCTTGCAAGAAGCAACGAAACAAGACGCAATACTCGCTAAAGTAATAAACTACCTTAGAAGTGGATGGCCAGATCATGTTACCAACAACAAAGAAGTTTTACCTTATTACAACAAGCGTGAAGAACTTTCTTTTGAAAACGGAATATTACTCTGGTTCGGTCGCATAGTAATACCTTCAAAACTGAGACCAAGAGTAATGGAAGTACTCCATGAGGGACATCCAGGAATAGTCGCCATGAAAGGTAAAGCGAGATTTCAAGTGTGGTGGCCCGGTCTAGATAAAGATCTGGAAGAACATACAAAACATTGTGTTGGTTGTCAAGAGAACAGGCCTAAAGACATGGAGATGCCTCTCTTCTCGTGGACCGTCCCAACAGAAGTCTGGTCAAGAATCTACATAGACTTTGCGGGACCATTCTTAGGTAAAATGTGGTTGATTGTTGTAGACGCACGATCAAAATGGCTAGAAGTGATACCCATGTCGACAACAACTTCAAAAGCCACTATCAATGCCTTAGAAGAATTGTTCTCAAGATTAGGCTATCCCAAAACTATCGTCAGTGACAACGGTCCTCAGTTGACATCTCATGAGTTCCAGACGTTCTGCAAAAACCTTAATATCAAGCACGCACGTATAACACCATATCACCCAAAAAGCAATGGGTTAGCAGAACGGTGTGTTCGAACATTTAAAGAATGTATGAGTGCATCACAGAACAATGTGGTAACCGTCCAAGAAAAGCTCAAAAGTTTCTTGTTCGCATACAGAACATCTCCAAAAAGGTCAACCGGAAAATCACCGGCTTTCATGATGTTTGGACGTGAACTACGAACAAAACTAGACCTACTGATCCTTGACGCAGATACTAAATTAGATAAAGAATTAGTTAGACAACGATTGGACAAACACGAATCAAAATTAAAAGTATTTCAAGAGAATGACCACGTCTGGGTGTTAAATACGTCCGGATCTGGATTCAAGCGAGGCAAGATAGTAAAAGTAAATGGACCCTATTCATATCTTGTAAACGTCCATGGTGTGAACCGGAGATGTCATGCAGATCATTTGCGAACGGCAGTCAGCTCTTAGAAGAAGGGGAGATGTGTAGTGTACCAGCTGGTGTTATTGTCACATGTTTTAAGATGAATTAATTGTCGATATGTTTACAGTTCAGTTGTTTGTTTACTCACTTAGAATACACATCATGTTTTCAAAATATGTCAAAATATTTTATTCTATTAATATAATAAACCACAACACTACACAGACATCAATGTAGTTTTTATTAAACTTAATAAGCGATGGCAGGAGCATTATTAAGTTCCTCATAGATAAACTTTGTGGACAATATAGCACAATGAATAAAACAAAATTACGCTATGGAAAGTTGTACGCATGATCATATTTTTACAGCAGTCAGCTGTTGACATGCTAGGGCCAAGGCGGGAGCATCTAGCGCGCGAGCGAGGACTGGGAAACAGCTGATTTCCTGATGTCCCATAGTTAGTTGTCAAATTGTCTGCTAGCCACTAACTTTACACAGGCATCAATCAGCAATCAGCGGTAGCACCAGTAGCCAGTAGCCTATTACCATTGACTAAGCTAGTGTTAAAGTTTATGGTCAATGCTATTACTGAATTCGATACTATACCATTGTGACAGATCTATTAAATGGAGAAAAACGTAAGGTTAAAAAACGTGTCTACCTACTTGCTTTTCGTGGCATAACAGGTGCAATGGAAGGTTTTAGAACAATTGGGCACAGTTCTAGACGTTAGAAATGGCTTTATAAAGTCACCAAACGGCTTTTAGGAGATACTGTATGACTTTATTAATCTACAGTAGTCCTGTTTTGAAATTCATGAAATTCACCATAGTTTGATTTTTTAAATGTCTTCTTGCTCTTGACAAAGACAAATAACGGGTGAAAAATGGGAGGTTTTTGTACAGATATAGACATTAATAATGGCTTTAGAAAGTTAGTAAACAACTCTTAGGGGGATATGGCCGTAGCCTACAATATGTTTTGAGATTTATGAATGCAACCGTCATAGTTTTAGTTTTAAAAATGTCTACTTATTCATGACAAATAAATGGGAAAATGGGAGGTTTTGCACAGAGTTCTAGATGTTAAAACTGGCTGTAGAAAGTCACCCAGTGGCTTTTAGGAGGATATGGCCGTAGGCTACAGTATGTTTTAAAATTCATGAATGCAATCGTATTTAATTTTTATAATGTCTATTTGCTCATGGCAAACAACAGGTGAAATGGGAGTTTATGGACAATTGGGCACGCTTCTAGGTGTTAAAAATGGCTTTAGAAAGTCACCAGACGGCTTTGAAAATTCCAAATTTTCCCGGGGGGAACCCCTGGCCCCCTGCTTTATTATGGGGTGCTCCACACCCCCCAAACCCCCCGGTAGCCCCCCCTTGGCAAGGTCCTAGAACCGCCACTGTTAGTAAATGTTTGAAAATTGGTTATTTCTCTGACCTTCTCAAAATTTCTAAAATTATTCCAGTACCTATATAAAAAAGGTGATAAAAATCTTCCTAGTAATTATCGCCCTATTTCAATAGTGCCAATCTTTTCCAAAATGTTTGAATGTCTCATGCATTAACAAACTCAATTCCAAAAGGAAATGAAATGAATGAATATTTTGAAAATAACAATTTATTGACTAATTCACAGTTTGGATTACGAGTGGGTAAATCAACAACTGCAGCTGTCTTAGAAGTAATTAATAAATCTTTAAATGCATTTGAAAATAAAGAAACTGTTTCATTAACTTTATTTGATCTTACAAAGGCTTTTGACTCTGTACCTTTTGATATTTTATTAAAAAAAACTTGAATTTTATGGTATTAAAGGTGAAACTTTAAAAATTTTAAAATCCTATTTAACTAATAGAAAGCAGTATGTATCTGTTGGAGGCAGTCAGTCTTAACTTAAGATTGGTTGAAGTAGGTGTTCCACAGGGCTCAGTTTTGGGACCCTTCTTGTTTTTAATCTCGATATATGACCTGCCGAGGAATGTTGATGTAGACACTGTTGTACAGGGTGGCGCAGATGGATCGGGTGGTTTTAAAATACTTGTCAAACTGTCAATTTTAAAGGTATTGGATTGAAATAAAGTGCAAAACGTGTAGTTACAATGGAAGTTTATTGACAACAAATTTGTTAAGTTAGTTTTTAAAAATTACATCCATCCAATGCCTTTCTTCTCGAGCGACGCATTCTTGGAGTCGGTCCTTGAGGTTCCGCATTGCTCGCTCAAGCACATTACCAGGAATTGATGTGATTTCGTTGTGAATTGCAGCCTTCAACTCCTGAATGGTCCGGGGTTCGTTCATGTAGACCCTTTCTTCAGGAGTTGAAGGCTGCATCACAACGAAATCACATCAATTCCTTGTGATGTGCTTGAGCGAGCAATGCAGAACCTCAAGGACCGACTCCAAGAATGCGTCGCTCAAGAAGGAAGGCATTTGATGGATGTAATTTTTAAAAACTAACTTAACTAATTTTTTGTCTGTAAACTTCCATTATAACTACACGTTTTGCACTTTATTTCAATCCAATACCTTTAAAATTGACAGTTTGGCAAGTATTTTAAAACCACCCGATCCATCTGCGCCCTGCGCCACCCTGTATATGCTGATGACACAACTTTGATTGCAACAAATAGAGATATCCATGAGCTTGATTTAATTACTAATGAATCAATAACATCAGCACTAAATTGGTTTTCTTCAAATAAATTGACGTGTAATCAAGAAAAAACACAGAAAATTCTTTTGAGTCTATCCCCACTTGACAATGAATTAAAATCTGTAAAATTATTAGGATTCCAAATTGATTCAAAATTTAATTGGCAAGAGCACATATAAATCACTTGTAAAAAAATTTCCAGAATAAATTATCTAATTTGGAAACTCAGAGATTTTGTTAGTAATGAATACCTTCGGATTACTTATTTTGGTTTTTTTCAATCTCATATTTCTTATGGGATTATACTATGGGGACTTTCCCCCCACACCCATGAAATTCTTTTATTACAAAAAAAAGTCATACGAACAATCTGTGGGGCTGGCCCTGTGGATAGCTGTCGACTTCTTTTTATAGACCTTAAAATTATGACCGTTGTAAATTTGTATATTTTTCACATACTCCTCTACACTAAAGCTCTTCATCAATTCACTTGTAGAGAGAGTATACACTCTTACAATACAAGAGGCAAATCCAATCTAGATATCCCTGCTCATAGATTGGCCAAAACAGATAACTGCCATAAAATCAATTCCATACGGTTTTTTAATAAATTAGGTCTGGCAGCAAAACAGGTTCCTTTTAATAGATTTAAGTCTAAAATTTTTGAGTGGCTCATCCAAAATCCATTTTACTGTATAACAGAGTACTTAGTTTCTGATGTTAATATTAATTTTTAATTTAGAACCCACTGTATTTTATAGCTTTAGTTTTTATTCCTATTGTTGACTATGTCTATTCCTTGTAAAAGGTCAATGACAATAAAGATCTTGATTCTTGATTCCCAGTAGGAGTAAACTTAGGCCTATTGTGTAGGCTAATTAGAATAATACCCTTGCCACAACAAACCTGCAGACTAAGTGAATAGGCTATCCATTTACCCTGGCCAGGGTATTATTATTATTATTTTCACTATAATAATGCCCTTAAATTGTCAGATCTAGCCTATTTGATTACTGGTTAATGCGAGGTCGGTTTAGAGGGGTTCTACTGTATCTTCTTCGGTCTTGAAGACACATCATCATCGTCTCCTGCTTTGACAGAAAAAAATCATCTTTTTCCACAACTGTGGCAACATCTTGAATATTTCTTCGGTATTAAAGACACATCATCATCATCTCCTGCGGTGACAGAAACAAAGTCACATTTTTCTGTGATTGCGGTGAGCGGTGACAGTCTTACCTCAGTGCCGACGAGCGAACAGACGATGCTGTAGAACTTCTTTGAGCTTGATATATCCGTCCTCACTGACGGTCAAACCTTCGTCAATAGCACCATGAATTTATTTATTGTAATTCACATAACACCTTTTCATACAATATGTAAAAATTTGGGAACTGATAATAAGCTTTCCTAACAATAACATCAACAACGGTAATAATTTTATAAATCCTAAAAATAACAAAATCATACTAAGTAAAGACTTCTAACCAGGGTTTAAGCTGCAGTAGCATTTTTAGCATTTTGCTATAGCCTACACAACTTAAAATGCTACATTGCTTTTGCAGGCTATAGGCCTAACAAATTAGCAAAATTGAGGATGTTAGTTTTTTAGCCAGTTAGTTATTTATGGCTTAAGCCTTTTTTGTAAATGGATGTTTTATTAAATTAAGGCTGACCATAAACAACTTAAAATAATGGTATAAAAATGTCTTAATTGTTGTGTCTTGTTCTAATCTACTTTCTTGTTGCTACTTGTTATCACTAGATTAATCTTTTGTGATTATTTGAGATTGAAATAAAATAGTAGGCCTGCAGAGTATTGTTCTTAAGGTCTTCAGCAAAATTCATCTGTAAATATGAGTGACAACATCTGATGTTGAATGTTTCAGTTTCTTTGTGAATAATGCTTATAGTATTTTTAAACATTTTATTTGTGTTCTACTCATTGTCATTGAGAGGAGTATCAACAGCAGAAAATTTGGTAAATTAGATTTACAATGAATTTTTTTGAATTTTTACAAAACTATGCAGAAAAATTATATTATTTTTTACTATATCTTTTTTAATTGGTTGCCATTATTTTTTTAAGGAATCTTTGTTATTGACTTTTTGTTTACCTCACCAATAGGCAGTAAAACTCTAGATTAGTAATTTGCTTAATATTTAATTGACATTATGAGGATAAATATATACTGGTTGATCCAGAGAAAAGTCAATAAATTTGTCATGGTTTGAAACATGTAAGCTGTCATTGATGATTGGGATTTTAATAGTCCTTGTTGAGAAACGGCTGATCAGTTACAAAGCGAAACAAGTCATATTATTTGATTTTAGACTCAATTTTCATTCTTAGTCAGTTTAAAATATCTACACATATTGTGTTACCTACTGTTTTAATAAAGTGCTATCTGCTATTTGTGGTTACAATAAAACCATGTTCACAAAATGAACTATTGTTTAAATGCTTGGCATGAATTTCATTAGGATGTGATGAAATTTGTTTGAGCACAAATGCTACAAACTCTCAGACAACTGTAGCAAAAGAAATATTCTTTAAGCGTTTAAAAAAATTGCTAGTAATATTACATGTTTGAACATTAACTTACATCTTCAATTTTATTTGTAGCAAATTTGTTATAGCCTGCAAAAGTAATGTAGAATTTTAAAGTTGTGTATAGCAAAATGCAAAAAATGCTGCAGCTTAAACCCTGGTTGGCTTAGTATGATTTTATTATTTTTAGTTTTTATAGCTGTTGGTGATGTTATTGTTAGCATAGATGATTATCGGTTCCCAAATTCGTACATATTGTATAAAAAGGTGTTAACAATAAACAAATAAATGAATTATTAGTCCTATTTCCAGACTCCAAAAGACGCTTCTTTGAGCAAGGCCCTATCTTGGCTACTTCGTCATGGTGCTATTGACGAAGGTTTGACAGTCAGTGAGGACGGATATATCAAGCTAGAAGAGGTTCTACAGCATCGTCTGTTCGCTCGTCGCTACACTCCGACCGATATCAGACTAGTTGTCAATCTCTGCAAGAACCGTTTCACACTCCGGACAAACCCTGTAACTGGTATTTACGAGATAAGAGCCAATTCCGGCCACACGTTCAAGGCGAGTAATGGTTATATAGTCACGACTGTGATAACATAAGTATGTGTTTTGAAGCAGATTTATTAAGCCTTAATGGTTAAACTGCTTACACTGTTGCTGATTTTGTAATTGGAATAGATCGCCGACAGATTATTTCCAGATTTAGAAGGGGGTTTTCAAACTTTCGTACTTTACAAGTAGGCCTATAGATCCCCCTATATTGTGATTACTTTGATACTTTGTCCCGCTTCTTTCAATTCACCACAAGGATATCAAGATAAAGAATGTTTATTTAACTAGATCTTTGTAATTAGGCCTATAGTCGATTTTTAACCTGATAATATAACCTAATAGACAATTTTCCATTTTTCAGGACAGGAATAATCAAGGCAACAAAAAATCTGATCCTAAAGTGGTAAGTGATAATGATGAAAATTTAAGAAATTAATTAGGCTTGTTTACATTTTAATTTTTGGGCTGCACTGAATGAACACATTGAAATATAAGTTGTTTATGTTGTAGTAGCTACAATTATGGTTATAGCAAATTAATTTATCATCTCTGTAGATCACATTATCATAATTTATCTCTATTGTGATGAGACTCTTTTCCGACATAGCAGAGCTAATGTTTCATTCAATCGAGCAATCACTTTCCACACTACTGTGAAATGACCTGATTTCGGTACATGTTTATCACCTGTGAAAATTACATTTAACTATGGCAAAAGAATGTTTACTGCACTTCAAACTTGGTCTCAAATATGCAATGACTCACTTTCTACTCTTGTTATGAAATATACTATTGTTGGCAGGTACAGCTATTAACACTATATTTTTTTTACTTGTGTTTGCTGTATGATAAACTTTTATTTATTGTTTTATCCATGTTTGTGAATCTATCTTCTCTCTTGGAAAAAGAAATAGCATAGTTAGCTTTTAACATTGATCGGTTGATTAACTAAGCAGCGGTAGACTGTGACACACATTACATCACATTTTACCTGATTAACTTCACCATTTTGCCTATGAGCTCTACTTGAAGCTCCAATGGCTACCTTACGTCAGACTTCCAATGGTTTGACCAGAATTCACCTACACTTTGTGCATGCTACATTCTCAAACTTTTTAACATTTGACAATACTGTTTATGGTAATTATTTATTTTCAGAGAGGTCGTACATATCCTCAAACTAATTTGAAATCTGGAAAAAACTATAACCATCAACAATTTAAAAACAACAAATATGATGACCTTTTGAAGAACTACAATATTCCTGTTGGAAATATAGCTGACAAAGAAAATAACAATAAGCGAGGAAGGGTGAGAGTAACATATTGATTGTTTAGTAATTAGTTCTGGTGATTGAATACTGTTATTTATATTTGTATAGATTAAGGGTGCACCTTACCTCAGCTCGGATTTCTCAGTACGATGTTGCGTTCGGTAGGTTCGGTACGTTACGGATACAAATTTGCTAGTTGCAGAGGTTCACGGCAACTGCCTTTGTAAGCTCATACATGCTACGTACATACATGCTACATACATGCTAGTGAAAAACAATAAACGGGGTTTTAAATACCGGCAGGGGTAGAGCGGACCCTTAAGCAAGCAGTCTTACTAGTTTCTGCCACATGTCCAAAAGTAGAGAATCAAATAACTTTTAACGTCTGTTTACTCCTCCCCTCAAACCAACCAGGGTTCTAGCGTGTGCTCCATCTTGCAAAGAGTGAGATTATCTTTATCATAACTAAGTTAAAATAATTGAAACCTCTCTGTCCATTAAACGTTTCAATATTGGTCTAGTGTGTCAGCTTCACATATTGTGCGTCAACTGCGTGGAAGTCAAGTCACCCTGAGATGGCATCTACAATCTACATGCAGACTGAAATGTTGGTTGACAGAATTGTATAATCTATTTTTAGATGTTTCATCAATGAGTATGTTTGGGATCTATTTAGTTCCTGGAAAACTCAACAGCAACAAATAATCACAACTGCTTTATTCACAGAAAAACGTTTACAAGAGTCTTATGAAATATCCTGAATTGAAGAAAAACTTGTTGTGGATTTTGCGTTACGGAAGTGAAAAAGAAGGTCTGACTGTGAAGAGACACGGTTATGTGGCCGTGGATGAGCTTATGAACCATTCCCACTTCAAGGACAAATGTATGAGAGAGGATATAATCACTGTAGCCAACAACGAGCCTCATAACTTTAAACTGAGAGAATCACCGAGCACACAACAGTTGTACATTCGAGCTCGGAAGGAGCATCCTATCAAGGTAAATAATACCCATGCTGCAGCAAACCTGCAGATTAAGTGAATTCCCACTTGCCTGGTTGGATTTTTACAAATAGGATTTTTTCTAACCATGATAGGTTCCGAACTGATAATTTGTTATATCGGGGATTTCGTTAAAAAAGGTTCGTTATTATTGAGGTTAGGTTTGCTGGAATTTCACTAAGTCGATCAATCTATTAATTCAATTTATAAGAAAATATATAAAACAAAAATTGATGCATGCATATAGTGCCGTAGGTGGAAAACCCAGGTTTGTCTGAACCAACATGTTAACGAACATTTTCTTTTAGTTAAATATTTAAATTTAAGTTCCACCTGCTCATACTCCAACCCTGGCTTGTACCTGTCATTGAGTATACCTTTCCGTCCGCACATCTTTCACTCAACACTACTAATACCGTGTGATCTTAGCAAGAGCAAGAGGACTGGTCTGTTATACCGGATGTGCTGTATATTCCGCTGGGCTTTGTTATCCACGGCATCAACGGGTCTGACTGGGACTTTGTGTCAGAACACGGTCTGAAGGTTCCTAAGACAGGGTACCTCTACTGCTCTCCGTACTACGCTGCTGACAGTTGGCACACACGAGGGGTGACCAAATATGATGACATATACATTCACATCGACTGCGGAGCCGCCATGCGAGGTTAGTGTGGCTCGGGACAAGCTTGGACTATTGATAGATCTATTTCCGTGTTAAAGTTGTAGCTGTTTTAGAAACAAAATTGACATTATTGGATTGAGCCACCAGCAGTATACACTGATGTAAACTACCGACTTCAAATTTGGAATCTTTTGAACTAAACAAAATTGAAAAAAATTATGTATATATGCAGCACCTTTTACGTCACATAAATTATCATCAAGAAATAAGGGAGAAATTAAAATTTCAGATAGTCACCCACTTTGGGATTGGACAATTCAAGCCTGACATTTCACTGGACACCTGTCACTACATCAGGGTTGTAATCTTATACTTTACCCGTAATGCTGGTCAAACCCCTAACTACAACTGATGATTGTGTCTATCCAGTACACAATACTTTTTACAACACCTGTTATATTGCCATGTGATCTGTAGTCAGAGCCCACAAAAGTTTGAAGTCTACCTACCTATGTAATCTACACATGTGTGAAAGTATTTTTGGATTTGGAATTTAATGTTTGTCATTTTTCTAGGTGCTATAATATTTTATGCAAAAAACATTATTTCAGTTTTTTTTCAGATGGCATTGAATTTTTTCTAACACCAGAATATTCTGTTGCTACCAAAGGAGACAAGGACGGATTTATAAGGACTCAATATTTCAAAAAAGTTATTGAGGCCAAAAGTGGTAAGTAGTAGCTTTCACTATTTTATTAGTCGATGGTAGTAGTTAAATCATTATTTTTTTTTTCAATGAACTATTAATTTAATCTTCTCAATTCTCAAAGGTAACAACAAAATACTACTGCTTTCAAGAAAACGTATGTTCAACAATGTCTTTAAGACCTATCAGCTGTTGACATTGTATTTGCTGTTTTTCTGATGTTATGTGTTTGTAACTAGCTTATTCTTAACTACTGTTCTCTTAGTGTAAAGTGAGTAAATACTCCTAACACATATTTCACTACTTGTCCAAGATAAAGTTCTCAAGACCGTCTAGTGTCTAATGACAAATGTCTCGGTAAAGCTTTAATGAGCTTTTACAAGTTCATTGATGAATGTAAAACGTGATTAAACTGTTTGTATTATCTTATAATTACCTCTAAATTATCATTCTACTAACTATTTTGAAGTGATAACCAATTTCGATGTCAGTGATAACTGTTTTTGGCCAATAGACAGGGTTGTCACCGACCATAAAAAACAAGAGCGTGAAAACAAAAGTCCTACGAAACAAATTAAACATAATGGAATAAAAAAATACTGAATTAAAATGGTTTATATTATTCAAAAACACGAAAACAAAGACTTGTTGTACAAAAATCCAGAGAAATTATAAATCAGAGCGGAACCTTAACACCTGTGGAGTTATTCAGGGCTCCATTCTTGGCCCTTGTTTATTTATTACAGATGTTAATGATCTGTGCAATGCTACTAAGATGTCCACCTTTCAATACGCAGATGATACCGCTCTAATTTGTACAGGTCAAAACAATGAGTTCATACAAGCTTTAATAATTAAGGAATTTCAACTCCTTGGGGACTGGTTTACAGTAAATGGTCTGTCCATAAATGTGGCAAAAACTCAACTAATTCAGCTTTCTGCATTAAATATTACCAATATTAACTAAGAAATCATTTAAAATACAAACTTAACCACTTTAACTTTAAAATATTAATTCACACCAGTCAATAAGTTATTTGGGAATCGATATTGATTCACAACGAAATTGGCAAAAAAAAACGTTAAAACCCTATCAAAATGACTACGCTCAGCAACATTTGTTCTTACCAGTGGCGGCGAAAAGAACCCGCGGGCCCCCCCACAAGTTTGTTCGCCGGGCCCCCCTCTTCCAATAATCTTTAAAAACATTTTCCCGCCTAAACTTGCAATTTTGTAATAAACTTGACAAGGTATCTCCCGAGGCGTCATTATCGTCTTATGATCGCGGCAAAATCGTAAATATTTCCGGTAGTCATAAGTCATGGAAGAAAGATTATCATAGTTTACCGTGATTACAAATGCAACAACCTATGACATCATTAGATAGCAGCATCATCGTCTCCCGCGTTCACGGCCCAATCTAATATCAAGGCCTAATATCTCCCCGGGACCCGTCGGTGGTGACGGGTAAATCATTTTTCCGTAATCAAGGCTAAATCCTAGATATATCTCTCGCTAAAAAAGAAACGTCATTATCGTCTTCCGTAATTGTGGCAAAATATTGAACATCTGTGGCCGCGGAGACATCGTCATCGTCACCCGAGAGGAAATGTTCTCGTCTATATCCGCGATCGCGGCAAAGAAAAGCCTATGCCTATCTTTCAATTTCGTGAGCGTGATCCTCACGGATGTAAAAGCTTTTACTTTTAATTGTGCATTATTGTATTGAATACTGTGAAAATCGGCTTTAGCTTGATTTTCTGACTTTGTGCTTGATCTCTCAAGCTTTTAGTCCAGGCTCTGCTCGGCCCGAAAATCGACATTATAGGCCTATTATAAAAATCAACCGCTTCCAAAGCAACCCGATTTTGAACCGATCTGATTTGACCTGAGGCCCTTAGGTAAGTAACATTCTTACCTGACTCAATGTAAACATATCTAAACTGCAAAGTAAGCAAATCTAAAGGGCAGCCTCCTAATAGTAAGACATGTAATGAAAATCCTTCTTTAGCATCAATTTAATAATGGAATTATTTATTAGCTAGTGCCCTAGCCACCTAGGTTAATTTGCCGATTTCGTCGCAACAAAATTGTCAAGTTTATTTAGTCGAATCAGCATAGAGGATCCTCTATGGTGTCACCCGCTGGGGGCTATGAGGATTAACATTAATGTTTATCTTCCTAGGCCAGAGGCCATATCTATATATTTAATACACTGTTGTAACACTGTTTTCTCAGTAATTACTGGACCGATCTACAAGATTTATGTCTCAAATTAAAGGGGATAGTGTGTAGATTTGCCGAACTTCCTTAGAATTTACGTTTTTTCTAAGGGCTACGACCTACAGCCCTTTAAAGGTCGAGTCAATACAATTCTTATTGAAGAATATAATAAACAGTTTATAAATTATTCGTCAGCTGTTTAATGTTTGTCAGACATTTGTTATTATTTTTATAACCTCACTTTCAGTATGCAATTATTAAACTTGGAGTTTCTGTTTATAAACACACGATTTTGATCAAGGAAAGTGTATTTGTTAACTTATTTTTGAAATGTTTTAGTTTTCCTGCAAAGTGATCTGAAGGAAAGTGGTAATTGAGTTTAAGTTTGAGTATGGAATGTGAAATAATACCCATAGTAGGGAACGGAAACTTATTGTTTTCATCAATATAATTTATTCTCTACGGCCACCAGAATAATCTTGCAAGTTGTACATATAATTGATGGCAATGTTGACTCGGGTCATTACAGTGTTAGAAAACTTTATCATTAACCCCAGGATGTGAAAAGTACAAAAAGAAAAAGAAAAGGTAATCATTAACCAGGTAAAGAAACATACAGAACGAAAAAACACGTAGAGAACCATCGAACTAAAAAGGTAAAGAGCAGTGATGGTGTTCAATGTGCTCTGGAAGTCCCTTCTAAAAAATTCCAATTTTTTTGAATTGGGTTCGTTAGATTGGATTTGTCAGTACTGCAAATCTATGAATTTTGAGTCAGAACAGACTAACTGGGACACAAATATTTTTTACTTATGTTGTCACAAGGGGAAGGTAAAATGAACTCCTTATCAACATTTTAAGTTTATGGAAAATCTTATCAACAGCGACTATAAAAAAAAGTATTGAGGGTCAAAAGAGACAAAAAACTATTTGAGTAAAATATAATACAAATCTGCATTTGAAATGGCCAGTTCTAAGTCTCACTTGAATCAACATCTTTCTGGTAGTGGTAGTCTACATAGTTTTAAAATCCACGACTCCTTTTCCATCGAATTGGACCGTTAATACCCTCTAACATTGAACAAAGTATGCCCAACTTTATATATACGACGTAAACACAGCTTTTACTCACAGTTTGGGTAAAGATTCGTAAAATGCGACCAACTGCTGATGCGTGATTTACATGTAGGCTATGTGACTATCTTTATTCCATACAACAAATGTAATAAAAAAAACCACGAATATAGGAATATACTTGAGCAAATTATCTAAATAGCATAAATAGCTGCTTATTAGGTTATCAGCATCGCCCAGTTCGTATAGGCCTACTATTTATTTTTCAAATGAAACTCGAATTAATATAAAACATTCATTTGGTTAAAATAATATAGCCTATCAGTTTGATTAACATAAAATAGTTTATACAGATAAACTATCAGTTCTATTTCATGAAAAAAATTAAACAACCCCTAAATAAAATACAAAGATAAACAGTATTTGTTAATTATTATTTCTTTTATTGCTGACAATATTCCCGTGGCGGAGCACGGGCGGTTAACTAGTTGGTTATAAATACGGCCCTATTATTATGCAACCAATTTTTTTCTGCGCCTTCACACAATCCACGAGGACAGTTAATGCAACCCGCATCGCATGACTGATGACAATTCTTTTACTTAGGTTGGTAGATAATTTATATCGATCGGTCAAGTAATGGTGTTGGTTTAGCTGTTGTACACTACTTGAACTATAGGTTTGATCAAATTTTCATCATAAAAAAACATATTATAATTCTCATAACTCATATAAATGGGACCTGTGTGGCTGAGCTTGTCACACTAACGCGGGCCCGTGAAAATCCCGGTCAAGGCTCACGGGCTCCCCTAGGGCCCGCTATCGCCGCTACTGGTTCTTACAATAATTTGGGATACTACTAATCTACAAACACAAATGTATATCACGCATATTTTTCATCGATTATGAGCTATGGGATGACTGTATGGGGCTCATCAAGCAAAAAATATTTATTCTCCAAAAACGAACTGTAAGATTAATGGCCAGAGTCCCCCGTGGAACACATTATAAAGACTGATTTGTTTAATTTAAAATTTTAACCTTTTTTAGCTCTTATACTTACAAATTGGCATTATTGGTTAAAAGTGATTTTGGCACATTCTTGGACTGTCAACAAGTTCATCCACATAACGCAAGATCCAGAAATATTATAAAACCAGTTAAACATAGGCTCTAATATATCTCTTCAGTATATGGGGCCAAAAATTTACAACAAACAATAATTACCAAAATGTTGCAACAAATTACCTGCTGAGCTAAAAAAAATTGCCTAGTTCTCTAAATTTTAATTATCTTTAAAAAATGTATTTTGGAAAGAGCATTTTACTGAAACTAGAAAAATATTTGGAAGGTGTTTATATTTAAAAAAAATATTACTTCTCCCATAGGTTTGTAACCTATTTGTTGTTTTTTTTTCCTATTTGCCTATATGTTTTTTCTTCTTGTGTAAGCTATTTTATTATTTTAAATGTAGTATTAGACTTTGTGAAAAATCACATTTCAAGAGAATTGATGTAATTGTATTATATTAAATTAATAAATAAACAAAAACATAGATAAGTTATTTTCAGCTTTTGAAATATTATATTGTATTATATTGTACCTATTATTGGTTTACTTGTTTTAAATCTTCACAAAAAATCTTGAAATACTGAAAGAATACTAGTAGAATCTTACTAATTCGAAATACTGTTGAGGGGTTTTACTGTGAATTTAAAAAAAATCACTAAGAACAAATAATTTTAATTCACTCTGCTAACAATCCAGCTTGAGGTTTTGGCGTGCAATACATTTTTAGAGGCAGTTTTTATCATTTGATTTACATTTTCAGGGGACTTACTTTTTTCCGATGGAACCGATGATGGAGAATAACTTCTTTTGTGAGGCATGCAATCTCACACTTCATCTAAATTTGTATGATCAACACATAAATGGGAAAAGGCATTTGTGGAATCAGCAGCAATTTGACAAAAGATACAAAACTATTTTCGTCCCTGGTAAGTTCTCAATTAAAATAAAATTAGTTGTTTTCGAAAACAGTTGAACTGTAGTTATTCTTTGAGCCTCAGGGAATTGTTTATTGAAACAATTTAGAAAGTCTCACATCTGTTTGATTGCACCTGAACAGTTTACTTTAATACAGGGGACACAGTCAGGTGAGACCAGACCTGACCGAGACAGGATCTACAATGCTGTGTCTTGGTGTAACAGTCTATTATACTATACAGTACTTCGTTCACAAATTTAGGCGGTTTTAGGGGAAGAAATCTATCCCCTCCACTTCTTCATCCTACTGTCAAAACAATAGCTCAACAGCTGAGGTTTGCCAAACCGTCAATCAGCTGCTACATATATATAATAAGCACAAAAAGTAGTGGGGAAACCTCTCCTCAAACCGCCTAAATTTTGTAAACGGAATACTAGTACAGTAGAAAAGGTAGAACCTTGATTAACCGCTGTAATAGATACCTCTAAAATTATGTTACATAACCTTTTTTATACAGCCTACTCCTGTAAGGAGTACGTTGTCACAACTGATGATGACATAATGATTGTAAATAGTAACCATGGCAACTTTGGTAGCCTGTGGTTGCCTGATTAGTAACCATGGCAACTTGTAGAATGTGCGGATGAAAAAAAAAACCCAAGAAAGAATAGAACAAAGACAAAGAATAAAGGATGTTTCTATTTCAATGTTATATTATATTGAAGAGTGTTTTTATTTTCAAGTACTAGGATTGTATAGTTTTATTAGGTTTTTATGAGTTATCTAATGTTTTTATCTTTCTTATTCCTCTGTCCTGAAACAGCATGTAGCAGTAGCTTACTAGACTCTTTTATTTTGTTATTTACGTGATTTATTGCTGTCCACAGTGTTTGGAAAATTTTTAGTTTGATTAGACTGTGATTTTGAATTACAGTTTTTATATCTGAACCAAAGCTAATGACTCAAAAATCGTAATTGCACGGAAATAATTGTATTTTGATGGGTACACTGGTAATGATTAAAATAACTCGCTAATAAATTGGCCATCATTTGAATTATGCTTGCATATAAAAATATACAACTATTAACCAAGGTGTACTCCAAAATTTGCCTTGAAAATCAGAGGTAGGCCTAGAGACAGAATTTAGTATCTAATTGAAATACTTTACTCCATCCATTAAAAAGAGAATTTTACTTTGAACCTGTTCAGTTACCGTTTGCTATCTATTTTCAGGCGCCAATGCTGTAAGTGAAAAACATTTAGAGCATATTTTCTCAAAGTATGGAAAAATTTCCAAAATAACTAGACTCAAAGGCAAGACTTATGTCTTCATCCAATTTATCGAAAAGTAAGTATGAGCATTTTTGCATTATGTAGATGTATCCTTTAATTAAAATAACAGTTTTAAGGTATTTCTTTGTTTCTTTATTCTAACAGTATAACAGCTTTTTTGTGTGACCTACAATAGAAATACAATAATATTAAACATAACGTCAAGGTTGGTTAAATAAACAAGGCATTTACTTCCGACATTGCTTGAGTGTTGATGTCTTGTCTTTGTCTACAGGTATATTTTACTTTTCTTTGTTTAAAATATAACTATCCGTTAGTTAAGAAATGCACACCCTCAGTTATTATATCGGAAGAGTAAAGTTCACACTGTAAAAAGCTTCCCTGAAATGAAGACAAACATCTAGTCTAGTCGATTAGTCTTCGTGTATATTCTATAATAACTGAACTTAAAACAGGCTTCAAATAAAAAATAAAGGATGACATGTCTACTGTACTGAAAATTACCCAAATGAATATCTAAGATTTAATACCTAATATGATTGATTTTGTTTTTGATTGGAAGAGCAGGCTTACTTGTGAAGTGGGTGTTTCTCAATTGGAAACAGATTTTATTTTCACACAATACCCAATAATAACAAGGTATTTGAAACAACAACTCCTAACAAAACAACAACTCCTAACTAACAAATCCTTTAAATGAGATTTTCTTGTAAAATACTGTTTATAAATACACTGAACAACTTTGACATGTTTCTCGACTTGTTTAAGACAAATGTTTGTACTATATTTAGTGAGAAATAAATTATGGTCGATTTAGGGACGCAGTTCAAAAGGCCCTGAAAGGAAGAGATTTTGTCCATGGGAGAAGGCTTTTTGTGACCCAATATAAAGATTACAGTAAGTATCATGCAGTGATTTAAATCATATGTAGTCCTAAGTACGAGGCATGTTTTTTAAGTAAGTACCGTTTTTAAACTTCTCCGTTCCAGCGCTGCAATTGGCATTTTGGACATTTGCGCTGTATATGTGCATCTATTGGCAATCCCTAGCCGGAAATTCGACAACAATCGTTCACAATGTTTACATCCAGTATCGAGCATTCAAAATGGTGCCGCCAATTGAGACTGCCGCCAACTGTGAAGTGCGCGCTGTAATTAGATTTTTATGTTCTAAAGGTGTGAAAGCCATTGAAATTTGTCAACAGCTTAGTGAGGTGTATAGCGAGAACATTTATTAGTGACGGAATGGTACAAAAGTGGGTAAGGGCATCTAAAGACGGCCCCACCAACGTTCATGATGAGCAACGCACTGGGTACTGGGGACAGTGACGCTGCCCAGTGCGTTGCTCATGATGGACGTTGGTGGGGCCGTCTTTAGATGCCATTCTGTGTTCGCTGGCCCTTACCCACTTGCGTACCATTCCGTCACTCATAAATGTTCTCGCCATACACCTCACTAATCTGTCGATAAATTTCAATGGCTTTCACACCTTTAGCACTTAAAACTCTAATTACAGCGCGCACTTCGCAGTCGGCGGCAATCTCAATTGGCGGCACCATTTTGAATGCTCAATACCGGATATAAACACGGCCGATTTTTGTCGAATTTCCGGCTAGGGCTTGCCAATAGATGCACATATACAGCGAAAGTGTCCAAAATGCCAATCGCAGCACTGCAATGGAGAAATTTAAAAACGGTACTTACTTAAAAAACATGCCTCGTAGTTCCAATAACAATTATATCGGTGATTATTGATTAATAATTATTTTTATTTACAACTACGTCTACTGTACCTTTAACTGAAAGCAATATTTCTTAATAAAGATATATTTACTGGTGAAAACACACTTTGTTTTATGTAATCTAATGAACTTAACCCCTAAACAGAACATGGCCTTGCACGGATATTGTTTTTGGCATAAAACTAAGATATTTCTAACAAATTGGAGGAAATTATAGGAGCCGTTTTTGAAATCATTGTGTGCAAACGTTACTTATACTATGGTATAGATTAAGTTGTAAACAAGATGCCTTTTGATTTTATCATAATTTGGTTTCAAATAATGCTATCAGAAAATTACAATTAAAAGAACACTTAGAAAATGTACAACGAAAACACCGTTTTATATAACGTTTACTGCAAATACCAAGACTTATCTTTGTTATATATTTTTTTATTGTCTTATTCCAAATTAGCCTGGTTAGTAAAATAGTGAGTACAAAACAGTTACAATTCAACAACAGGTAATATAATTAAAAGGTAAAAAGTCTCACAAAATACATATTATTTTGGTAAAATAAAAGGATTACCTTATCCAACCACAGTTGTTGGTATGACAACTAGTTTCGTTCCTTTGAACATCCTCAGGTCATTGTAAGCAACCACATCATCATAATACATACATTTGTGGTATGTAAAAAAATTCTTTAAAATACTCTCAAAATAACAGTAATCAAAACTTGTCGAGTTGATCCAATAATTAAAATGGAATAAAAAGTAATAAAACTGGTTAAAAATGTAAAGGCTGGCTAGTGTTTCCACTGTCACTGACTAAATAAAACTGACTTGAGTCATGAAGTTTCTTCTTCACTCCAGTGCCACCTGTATTTCAGTTAGTTTTGTTCTTCTTCCTAGTACTCAAAGGGTTGAATATAATTCTAAACATTGTGTGTCTTTGGGAAAGATTACATTTTATTCATGATTTTCTCTAGACAGTATAGTAGTTCCGTATACAATTTTTATGCAATCACGAGTGACTAAGATGTCTCCACAATCGCGAAATGACAAAGATAAATTCTCCTAACAATTGCAGAAAATGATCTTGATTGTACCTACGCTGAGGGAAAAGATGACGATGTCTCCCCTATCGCGAGAAATGTTCCCAAATTGTCTATGGCGGATGACAATGATAATGTCTTAGCAATCACCGGTGACAAACACAGGTTACAGTCATGATAACATTGGGACCAATCCAATAATGGCTGAAAATTGAACTCGTTTTTCCATTATTCATTTGCAAGAATTTTACTCAAGATTTTTCAAATAAACTCTAATTTAAGTAGTTGCACAGGAAGAAAAATCACACTTCTAAACTAAAAGTACAATTCCTATTTTAAAACACCTATCATGATTGCAGGTGTGAGACCAGAAGAGGAGTTCAAAAGGCGAGGAGAGAGAGAAAGGGCCTTATCTGGTAAGATATTTGCTTTTATACATTTTTGAGTGTCAGATTTTGTCAACATAATTTCATCCTAATTTTGAGTAAATAATGATTGAATAGGGTTTTTTAACTAAGCTAAACCTACTTATTTCGACTTTGTTTAGCTATTTCTTTATGCTTATCTTATTTTTAAACATACTAATTTTAATAACTTGAAATAAAGAATACGAGTTTGGCCAAAGGTTCTCAAGCAAGTTTGCACTGTTGTTTACTTGTTAAACCGTTGAAGCTAAACAAAGACATTATTCTTATTGTTGTCACAACATGACATCAGCATTGAGTAATTTAAAATATTTCTAAGTTAGCAAATAAGATTTGTTTGCCGCGATAAAATGAATTGCTTAAAAACTCTATTTTTAAAAATACACTTTACTTTTTTATGATTGATACTTAATACACTTATCCATGAATTAAGGGTGTAACACAGAGCACAAGGGTCTAGGTTTTTAGGATT